GTCTGAGTCCTCGGTCCCGATGCCCCAGCGCCCACCTCGTGGCTCGGGGACGTCTCCACCCTGCCCCGCTCTGCCTCCCAGTCTCGGCTCCGACTTCCAGGAGCCCCGACTTCCTGGGTGGTCAGTCCTCCCAGCTCCGCACACCAACCCCCCACCCCCGCTAAGCTGGGAGCTGTGGCCTCGCGCTCCCAGCCTGGCCATGAGACCCGAGGACCTCCGACCGCGCCCCACGTGGGGCCTCAGGCTCCCGTCCGACGGGGAGAGGCGGTTGTGACTGTGTCTTGTAAGTATCTCCACCGCCAGAGGCCCAAAGACACGTCCTTCCCTCCGGGCGCACCATGCAGACGTCCGAGGACAGCGTCGTGCGGTAGATGCCCTGCAGCACGTCGGGGGCCTCCGCAGCCGCCCAGCGGTCCTGCTCCAGCTGCAGGATCCTATTGAAGCAGCTCGCGATCTCGGTCTGTGCGGGCCAGGGAAGGGGCCGCGGTGAGACCCTCCCAGAAGGGAGACCCCCCTACCTCCAAGCCCTAGGGCGCGCCCTTGGAGACAAGCGCACCCCTGCGGAGACACAGGCCCATGACACAGAGAGGCTCGGACCCTGGGCACTGCGCCTCCCCACCCCGCGGCAACGACCGCCCTCCACCTGAACCCCGCCCCCTCCGGCCCGGCCCCGCCCTGCTCTCACCTCCAGAAGGCTGGTGCAGGCGTCCTCCAGTTGGGCCCAGGCGTCCGGTGCCAGGAGCGGGGGCAGCGGCTCCGAGGGCACAGTCTGGTCCTGGGAGCCCAGGAAATCGGGACTGGAAGGCAGGGCGGGGCCTGGAAGGTCTGGGCGGGACTCTGATGCGGCCGCAGCTGCCCCCACTGCCCTCTGCATAGGCTCAAAGCCTAATGCCATCGCTGAGGCCCGGAATCTGGGCTTCTGTTCACACGCTCAACCCCCCCACCCCGCCCTCCAAGATTCCGTGCCAAACGCCTCTCCGCCCGGCTTCCCACCTCAGGATTTCCTGGCTAAGCAGTTGGCGGAGCGTGCCCCGAAAGCATAAAGATGGCAGTCCGGATGGACCTCGACCAGTTTGCTTCGGGAATGACCTCCACCCTCTCGCTCGGGGTTCACCCAAGATTGAGCTCTAAACGCCCCCAGGACCTTGCAGTTCAGGGTCCAGATAGGATCCAGCCCACACCGGGGCGTGTTCCTGTCTGCAGCCACACAGAATATTAAGGAGCCCAGCACGTTGGCGCCCCCTCCAACTGCCCGTCTGCCTCGTGAGGTGGGGAGTGCTCAGGTGGACGGGGGACCCACCCCATCACTTTCTGAAGAGCCCTGAACCGAGGTGTCCATCCAAAGCAAGAGTGGGGGTGAAAGCCAGCCCTCAAGGAGCGCGGTGAGCCCGTGGTTGTGTCCAGCGTGGAGGGGGCGCCCTTGGCCAGTTCACTCAAAGGCCCCGCGTGGACTAGGCGGGACTCACTGGGCTCACCACCTCGGAAGCAACCCCGCCCGTAGCGCTTTTCAGCTTCGGGACCCGAGTTGGAGAGCACCAGGGTCTGGGATGGGGAGGAGAGAATCTCAGAGGGCTCCCGGATCTCGGATCTTGGGTGCCTAACAGCCAGTACTCTCCCGGGGAGGAAAAGGAGGAGAAAGGTGCCTTGTGCCCTTCAGAGCAGGTTCCCGAAGACCTCGCGGGCGGGCAGTGCCAGCCCCTCCTTGCCCTCGCCCCACCCCGCGGCCTCCGGCCTGGGCCTCACCTGCCGTAGACGTTGGTGGCCCAGTCCAGCAGCACGTAGAGCTGCTTATAGCTGCGGGCGACGTGCGTGAGCTCCTGGAAGCGCTGGGCCACCGCGCCGTGGAAGGCACTCAAGTAAGTCTGCCAGGCCTGGAAGCCGGCGGCCGCGTAAGCGGGGTGCACCTCCCGCTTCACCTTCTGCAGGTCGCTGCGAACCAAACCGCTGAGCTCGGCCAGGAGCCGCGCCACGTCGGGGGCAGCGTCGCCCGTCCCCGGGGCCTCCCCCGCGCCCGCCTGCCGCACGCGTTCCTCCGCGCTCCGCCGCACCGCGTTCTCCCAGTGCAGGCGCCAGCCACGTGGCGTGCGCAGAAAGTCGCCGTCTGCAGGGGGCTCCGGGTGGGCCTCCTCTTCCTCAAGCACCACGCGGGCCACCTCTGCGAGCGCGGCAGCGTCCACGCCGTCCGGGCCCAGCGTCTCGCAAACGATGGCGCCGATCTCCGCGGTCAGCCCGTCGTAGTGCAGGCACACGTCCATGGCGCGCCGCGCAAAGTCCGTAGGGTCCTGCTGGAAGGTGCACGAGGCTTTCTCGGCCACTAGCCCCGTCTCCAAGTGCCGCAGCTGCTCGAAGGCGGCCAGGAGTTGCCGCTTGGAGATGAGGTCGGCCACAGATGTGCCTTTTGCAAGATCGGGCGAGAAGAGGGCCAGTGAAGGGGACGCTCCAGGTAGGCCTGTCGGCCTGGACCCTACACACCCCGGGCTGGGCTGCCTGGCCCCAGAGCGCTACGGAAGGCCTGCACCATGAGCAAGGGCCTCGACTGCCCTATGTCCTTCGGAATTGCCTTTGAAGAGGCAGATCCCAGGTCCCGAGCCTGGTTCAGATCACGCCTGGGATGGTCCTCCCCTTGCCTTCAGCCCCTACATCGGCCGCTGCTCCCTGCGTGGAGCTGGACCTGGTGGGCTCCAGTGCAGTCCTGACTCAGGTCCGGTGGGGCCAGAGCTCAGGCTGGTCGTGTCCTTGGATGCCCAGGCTCCTGCCCACGGTGTCCAGCTTCAGCATTTCTTGTTCCCAGCTGTTCCCCGCTCTGGGCCAGCCTCCACCCCGGGGGAGCCCTCCACCTTCTCCTGCACACCCCCTTCAGGGCCCATCTCCTGGGTGGCCCCCTGATCTTGCCTCCAGGAGGTCTTGGCTCCCAGGCACCCTCCACGATCATGTGATCTGAGTGGGCCAGTGCCTTGACTACCAGTCTGGTTTGGCCAGGAGCCAGGCTGTGGAAGCCCGTGGAGTTCTGGGGCCCTGCAGATCTGGGTTCAAATCTCATTTTTCCACTTCCCAGCTGTGATACGTGAGGCAAGTCACTTAACCTCTCTGAGCCTCACTTTTCTTGGCTGCCCTTGTTGAAATGCTGGAAGAATTTTACCATGCAGTTGTGCACGGGCAGGGGTTTGGGGTGGCTGGGGAGGGTAACCCATCAGGAAGCTGGGCCCTGCTGGGCCCTCTCTCTCTGGCCTTGGTTTCCTCCCCTGCTCAGTGTGTGTGTGTGGGGGGGGATGGCGGGAGGGTTCACCTTCGGCTTCCTCAGGCCCCGTCCCCGCAGACGACCGCTGGCCAACACCTTCCTTGGCCTTGGAGGACCCCTTCCTGCCGCAGGCCGGCCCTGGCTCAGAGGTCTGGTCCCCGGCGGGGCCGTTGTCTGAAGTACGCCGCAAAGACCGGAACAGGAAGCGGCCGCTGAGCCTGAGCAGCCCTGCGTCCCCTCGGGGGGCTTGGCCCGAGGCCCGCTGACTCACCCTCGAGAAGGCCCTCCGTAAAGTGCCCGGGCCAGGCCTGGAGCCCACGGGCCGGGCGCGGGGTGCGCCCTCGCTGCTCGCCCGACGGGCGCCCTGGGCTGGGGTGTGCGGCTCCACGGGCTCTTGAGGGCGGTGCGGCTCCGGCCCAGAGGCCTCTGTCTGCGGTAACGGCATCTCGGAGTCAGCGCAGCTGGGGGTGAAAGGGAAGCTCAGGCAGCTGGGGCGGTGGTGGTGGGGGAGTGACCAGTCGTGGGGAGCAGACACCGAAACCCCATGAGACCCCACGGGGCATGTGGGGGCCCAGGTGCTGGTCAGGGAAGCTTCCCCCTCCACCGGAGGTGACCCCAAAACTGGAAAAGGAAAAACTGGAAAAAGAAACGTCAAAAGGAAATGTCAAAACGTCAAGAGGAAATGTCACGAGGCAGCTCCCTTGGCCTGAGCCATCTTTGTGCCAGGATGCAGCTATTTCTGCAGACAACGGACAGCTACTTCTATCAGGAAACCTCCCCGACACCATTTTCCATGACAGTCTCCCCTGGGTACCCACCTGCGCTGGGTGTGCCAGGCCAGACCCTCCCACCAGAGCTGGAGAGGAAACGAACGTGCAGATTCCTGGGCTCAGCCCAGCCAGCAGCCCGCAGTCCCCAGAGTGGGCCTAGAAACCACGTCCAGGGCTTCCTGAACCTCGGGTCCTGAGGCCTAGCGTGTCCACCCCCTCACAGCCCCTTCACGGCCCCCCTCACCCCTCAGCTCACCCCCCTTCAGCCATCAGGCTCACTGCTTCTGCTCAAAGTGGAGCTCAAGGGCCCCCGTGGAGGACATCCACCCCTTTCCCTGGATGTCCCAGCACTGGATGGGGGTGGGGTCAGGCTGGAGGGGGCTGGCCCAGGCCACTGGGGGCTTATCGAGGCCTTGCAGCCCGCAGGGAAGGCTGTGGGAGGGGCCTTGGTTCTATATTTAACCAGGGGCTGGAGACTCCCAGCACCCATTCTCACCCATGATCTCCTCCCCGCTGCCCCCTGGAGAGGACGGGGAGGGGATCTCCAGGGCGTGATGGGCCTGGGTCAGGGCCCTCACCACCCCCAGGCGCCCCCAGGCTCCACTCACTCCCCACTCCCTTTCAGCCCAGCCTGGCTGTTGGAGAAAAGAAGAGAAACTTCTTGGCCTTCTGGGACCTCCCACCCACCCCACTGTGTAAAGAGGAGTTGAAGGTGGTGGGGGGCTAGCAAGTTCTCACTTCAGCCCGAGGAGCTAGGGCCGAAAGGAGGGCAGGACCTGCTGAAGTCACTGACCAACCAGAGGCCGAGCCACCCCCCATCCCCAGGTCACCCCTCACCACGGGGACAAAGGCCAGGCTGGAGCCAGCACCCAACCCTTGGGTGGTATTGGGCCGGAGTGGCCTCTCCCCAGGCCTCCGTGTGCCTGGGGTGATTGACACCAGGACAGGCAGGGCCCAGACCCTTACCCACCCCCGCTCCACCTGCCAGCGAGATGTCTGTCCAGGGGACAGACATGCAGGGGTTCGCCGAGGCCTACCTTCCTCTCCCAGAGGCAGCTGAGCAGCTGGAAGGAGGCTGCCCCGAGGGAGGGGCCGGCCCAGGTGCTCGATGTAGGCCTTATCAGCCCCGCCCTGGCCACAGGTCGTGGTTCTCCCGGATGCCAGGACTCGGGGACCATGCCCTCAGATCAGGCCCGACACAGCAGGGAGCATCGTGCCAGCGGCCGTCTGTGCCCCCCACCCCCACCCCCCGCAGTGCCCCCCGTGCCCAGCAGGGGCAGGAGTGGTAATGAAGAGAGCCATTCCAGCGGGGTCCAGCCTGCTACGCTCTGGGCGCTGTCTCCAGGGAGTGTGGGGGCAGGACAAGCCAACCTACCTTGGTTGGCAAGCGCTCACACTTAGTAAGCACCTACTGTATGCTCGGTCCAATGCCTGGCACGTGTCAGATCCCCATGACAACAAAGCGACAGGGTGTCATTCACCCCACTTCATAGATAAGCAAACAGGCTCAGAGAGGGGCAGGGTCTTGCCTTAAGCCACACAGCTCAGGGGCGGGGAGTCAGTTCCAGCCCGGGTCTGGCTAGGAACCTGGGAGCAGAGGCTGAACCCTGTCTCCCAGTACCAGCTGCCCAGCGTTGCTGCCCAGGGAACCCTTCTCCTGGCAGAGGGTCTGAAGGTAGGCAGGCTGCCAGATGCCAGGAGTGGGATCAGAGTTGAAGTTCTCCCAGGAAGCCTAGGGGAACATTGTGGGGGAAGAGGGGCAGCTGGCAGCTGGGTCTCACGGGAGGTAACAGAGGCAGAGACTTGAAACGCAGCCACCCTGCCTGACCACCTCGTCCCAAAGCCCATCGAGGCCCCCCTGGTGGTCCCCCTGCTCCCTGAATCTTGCTTCTGCAGCTTCCCGAGCCATTGTTGACCTTCATGAGGCACAGGTCAATCAGGTCACTCTCCTGCTTTAAACGCTTCCATGGCTCCCCACAGCCTGGCATTTGAAGCCCCTCTCGCCTCCATCATGGTCTGAGCTTCCTCCAGCCTCACTTCCGGGCCTCCTGGGCCTGCACCCAGCCAGCCTCCCAGCTTCTGCTCAGGCAGCTCCTTCTCCCAGCCTCTCCCTCTGCTCCCCAAAGCTGACCTGGGTTTCAGAAGCTGGGGTGCAGTTGCCTCCACCTCCGAGCAGTCCTTGGGCTGTGCTGTACCACCTGCCTGCTCATCAAGCCCCCGGACTGGCCCCCTGTGGCGATGGGGTCTCCTCACTGGCCTGGGGACCTCTGTCCATCCACCCCTCCCTGTCTCCCCGGAGCCAGCCTTCGGGGGGTCTCAGGGAATGTTTAACGGTAGGATTCCTGTGTGCTGTTTCCTATCTCTCTTGAGCCCTCTGTTCCTTATCAGTCCCTATCAGTGGCCAGAGGAGCTGGCAAGCTGCTCCCAGCACTGAGATCATAGAGATGTGATGCTTGCATAGGATTTCCTTCATTAGCTATTCCATTTGGTGAAAGGGATTACTTAGGACCCTCTTGATACGGATTGCTTTTGGCCTTATAGCCTCTGTTGCTCCTTGTTTCCTTGGTAACTTGTAAAGTCAGGTCTTTTTTTATCTTTATCTGAAGAAGCTACCTTGTAATATGGTATATATACTCTTACAGAATTCAATAAGCATCCTTGCTCCACCAGAGACTTGGGTCCCCGTGTCCTTCTTTCTCTCTCTCTCTCTATTTCTGGGTGATTCCCTAGAGCATGAAGGCCGGCTGCATAACCCAGGGCATATTAGCCTCTTTCCTACTTTCACTTTCATATCGTCGACTCCAGACCACCAGGTTCTGGTCCATTGAAGGACCTCAATAAGTGGCGCCCAGAACAGGGGCCTGGTATACACAGTACTTCGGACGGAGTGACTCAGAGCCTATTGAAGCCGGTAAGTACAAGGACATAGGTCAAATGACTGGAAAGCCCCCTCACTTTTCTACTTTACTTCATCATTTATTTAAAGTTCAGGGACTTTAGGTTTCACGCCAATGAGTAGAGGCTTGCCTTCAAACAATAGTTGAGCATAATCCCTGGTTCCCTGATGAAGGCAGTTTTGATTTAGAAATTTGGTATCCGGTCAAAGAGAATGTTGAACAAGCCGCCAGACGGGGAAAATATATTCCAGTTGATTTCTGGACCCTGTGGGCTCTCATTAAAGCTGTAATTCTGCCATTTCAAGGCAGTTCTAGCCCTCCTGATATTCGACAACAGACAGAATGCTTATTACATGAATATGAATTAGATGATGAAACTTAATAAAAGGCCCAATTAGAACAACACAAAATATTTCAGAATTTTCCTACAAGCCCTGCCCTGCTGCTCCAAATGCTCCTCCTCTGCTAACAGGCATGAATCCAAAAGTCTCTCTTTTTCTAGAACCTAATGATTCTGACGACTCTCCTGAGATACTTTGTGACACCAAAGCTGGCAAAACTTTTCTGGATAATAATGATAAGTCCTTAGCACAAACTCATATTTGCAAAAAATTGCTACCTACTCACTCTCCTTCGAGACAGAGGTTCTCTCTGAATTGCTGGCTTTGCAATCACAAGTCTCTGAAGCCGGTGGTTTTTCCGCCTTCCCAGTTTTTAGAAATGCTAATGCTCAAGGGCAAATAATACCTCAATATGAAGGTATTAACCTTTTTCACATGCAACAAATGAAAAAGGCTGTAACTATGTATGGCCCACATTCGCCTTTTACTAGAGAGATTCTAAATGCTATGGCATCTTCTATTGGAAACTTTATTCCCTATGATTGGTGAATTTTAACAAAAGCTCTCCTTAAACCAGGAAAATATCTTCAATAGACAATGTGGTTTCAAGATATAGCCAGAGATCATGCTAACAAGAACACTCCGAGCTGGCGCTCCCCAAAAACAAACTACTTTTGAAATGTTAATGGGCACCAGACAATTTGATGCTATAGAAGCTCAAATACAATGCCCTCTTTGTTGCATAAACAATTAAAAACAGTGGTCCTTGAAGCCTGGGATTGATTATTCCTCAAGGGGAACCTACAGGCAGCTACACTAAAATATTACAAGGCCCTAATGAAGCTTATGCTGATTTTTAAGCTAGATTAGAAACTACTATTTCCCATACTGTAATCGGAGAAGAAGCTAAAAGGCAACCAGAGAAATTACTTGCTTATGAAAATGCAAATCAGGAATGTCAAAAGGCTATAGCCCCAATTCGTGAGACAGGGACTATTATTGATTATTTGAAGGCTTGTCGAAATCTGGGACTAGAAACTCAAAAAATGCAAATACTAGCTGAAACAATGGCTGCTTGTTTTAAAAAGGGAAATGAGTGATGTTTTATATGCGGGGATAAGAACCATTTAAAAAGGGATTGCCCTAAGGAAGTTAATAAAAAAACCTCCAAAAGTGTGCCCCCGCTGCCGTAGGGGAATGCATTGGGCCAAAGAGTGTAAATCTAAATTTGATATTGAAGGAAAACCTATTTTGGGAAACTCCAAACAAGGGACCCCCCAGGACCCCTTCATCAAAAACCAGGGGCAAAATCCATCTTTTCCCTCAAACCCTCTACCTCCAGCAATGCTGCCGTCTATATACCAGCCCTAAATGATTTTCTCCTTTACCCTCAAGCAGTCCCTTCTAGAATACCTACCTGACTTTTTGGGCCCCTGCCCCCACAAACCTTTGGTCTTTTACTTGACTGATCTAGTTTAACTTCTAAAGGGATTACTGTTCACCCTGGAGTAATTGATTCAGATTATAAAGGAGAAATTCAAATTATGATGTCATCTCAGATTTTATGGCAATTCAAAAAGGGGGACAAAATTGCTCAATTACTCCTTTTACCTTACATTTCTATTAACTCCTCTAATGATGTACGGACATGTGGATTCGGCAGTACAGATCAAAAACAGTCCTTATGGACATCATTGCTATCTGAATTTGCCTGACTGAATATAAATATCAAAATTAATGGTAAAAGATTTTCTGATCTCCTCGATACTGGATCTGATATTACTATTATATCCAAACATTTATGGCCCAAATCCTGGCCTATACAAAAAATATCTTGCGAAATTGCAGGAATTTCTAAAACCAAAGTACAAGAAGTTTATCAAAGTGTTCAAATCTACCTATGTGATGGACCAAAAGGCCAACCCACAACATTAAAACATTATGTGATAGATGCACCCCCTTAATTTAATAGGAAGGGATTTACTTATGCAATGGCAAACTCAGATTTACATTCCACATTTTTCCTAGGGGCCACTGCTCACTTAACAAATAATACAATTATTAAAATAACTTGGAAGTATGACAAGCTCATTTGGACGGAGCAGTGGCCCTTTACGAAAGAGAAACTACAGGCTGCTGAAGAACTTATAGATGCACAATTAGAATTGAAACATATCGAGGAATCTTGCTCTCCGTGGAACTCTCCTATTTTTGTTATAAAAAAGAAATCTAACAAATGGCATCCCTTAACAGACTTTAGAAAAGTTAATGCATCTATGAAACCTATGGGTGCATTACAACAAGGAACCCCATCGCCTACCGCTATTCCTCAAAATTGGCACATTATTATTATTGATTTGCAAGATTGCTTTTTTAATATACCTTCACACCCTTTAGATCAAGAGGGATTCTGCTTTCTCTCTCCCTTATCCGAATCATATTGGGCCTCATAAACGACACCGATGGACTATGCTGCCTCAAGGAATGATGAATTCTCCCACCATGTGTCAGTACTATATAGCTAAAAGCCCTTGAGCCTGTGAGAAAACAATTTCCTGACTCTCTTGTTATCCATTATATGGATGATATATTGCTTTCGGATCCGTTTTAGAAACTCAACACATGTTTGATTTAGCTCAACAATGCTTATAAAACTCTGGACTATTGCCCCTGAAAAAATTCAAACCTCTACACCTTATCATTACTTAGGATTTGTTGTTAACAGACAATGTATTACTCCCCAACTAACTCAGATTCATACTGATAAATTATCAACCTCAAATGATTTTCAGAAACTCTTAGGTTATATAAATTGGATTAGACTCTCTTCAGGCATTGCTAATTTTCAACTGCCATTCCCTTCTCCAGTGGACCACATTCTGTCAGACCTCTCCACCATGACCCGACCGTCTTGGGTGGCCCCACATGGCATGGCTTAGTTTCATTGAGCAGAAGATATTAAGAAGAGGTGGCAAGAATGCACAGAACTGTGCAAAAAAGATCTTCACAACCCAGATAATCACAATGGTGTCATCACTCACCTAGAGCCAGACATCCTGGAATGTGAAGTCAAGTGGGCCTTAGAAAGCATCACTACGAACAAAGCTAGTGGATGTGATGGAATTCCAGTTGAGCTATTTCAAATCCTGAAAGATGATGCTGTGAAAGTGCTGCACTCAATATGCCAGCAAATTTGGAAAACTCAGCAGTGGCCACAGGACTGGAAAAGGTTAGTTTTCATTCCAATCCCTAAGAAAGGCAATCCCAAAGAATGCTCAAACTACCACACAACTGCACTCATCTCACATGCTAGTAAGGTAATGCTCAAAATTCTCCAAGCCAGGCTTCAGCAATATGTGAACTGAGAACTTCCAGATGTTCAAGCTGGTTTTAGAAAAGGCAGAGGAACCAGAGATCAAACTGCCAATATCCACTGGGTCATCGAAAAAGCAAGAGAGTTCCAGAAAAACATCTATTTCTGCTTTATTGACTACGCCAAAGCCTTCGACTATATGGATCACAATAAACTGTGGAAAATTCTGAAGGAGATGGGAATACCAGACCACCTGACCTGCCTCTTGAGAAACCTGTATGCAGGTCAGGAAGCAACAGTTAGAACTGGACATGGAACAACAGACTGGTTCCAAATAGGAAAAGGAGTATGTCAAGGCTGTATGTTGTCACCCTGCTTATTTAACTTATATGCAGGGTACATCATGAGAAACGCTGGGCTGGAAGAAGCACAAGCTGGAATCAAGATTGCCGGGAGAAATATCAATAACCTCAGATATGCAGATGACACCACCCTTATGGCAGAAAGTGAAGAGGAACTGAAAAGCCTCTTGATGAAAGTGAAAGAGGAGAGTGAAAAAGTTGGCTTAAAGCTCAACATTTAGAAAACTAAGATCATGGCATCTGGTCCCATCACCTCATGGGAAGTAGATGGGGAGACAGTGGAAACAGTGTCAGACTTAATTTTGGGGGCTCTAAAATCACTGCAGATGGTGACTGCAGCCATGAAATTAAAAGATGCTTACTCCTTGGAAGGAAAGTTATGACCAACCTAGATAGCATATTAAAAAGCAGACATTACTTTGCCAAAAAAAAGCCTGTCTGGTCAAGGCTATGGTTTTTCCAGTGGTCATGTATAAATGTGAGAGTTGGACTATGAAGAAAGCTGAGTGCCGAAAAATTGATGCTTTTGAACTGTGGTGTTGGAGAAGACTCTTGAGAGTCCCTTGGACTGCAAGGAGATCCAACCAGTCCATCCTGAAGGAGATCAGTCCTGGGTGTTCATTGGAAGGACTGATGCTGAAGCTGAAACTCCAACACTTTGGCCACCTCATGCGAAGAATTGACTCATTCTGATGCTGGGAGGAATTGGGGGCAGGAGGAGAAGGGGGCGACAGAGGATGAGATGGCTGGATGGCATCACTGACTTGATGGGCGTGAGTTTGAGTAAACTCCAGGAGTTTGTGATGGACAGGGAGGCCTGGTGTGCTGTGATTCATGGGGTCACAAAGAGTCGGACATGACTGAGCGACTGAACTGAACTGAACTGAATTATCAACTGACTAATCTATTTAATACTTTGAAAGGAGATCATGATTTAAATAGCCCTTGATCACTTTCTCAAGAGGCACCACAGGAACTCTATTTGGTACAAAATAAATTACAGAAGCAATTTCTTACTGGCATTAGACTAGACTTACCTTTAGAACTATTTGCACTCCCCTCTCTTCATTCTCCCACGGGACTCCTTGCCCAACAAGAACACCCAATAGAATGGATCTATACCCATTTTAGAGGAATAAAAGTCACTTACACCCTACCTTGATTTAATTGCTCTAATCATTATCAATGGAAGAAATAGGACTAAAACTCTAATTGGCTCGGATGCCCATAAAATTGTGATACCTGTCAGTAAATCTCAATTTGAGAATGCCTTACAAACGTCTACTGATTTCCAAATAGCTTTTCTGGAATATTTTGGAGAAATTTCATTTCATTATCCTTCTAACAAGCTATGGAATCTCTTCAAAAATACTGAATTTATTATTTCCCGCATCGTCAAGCTCACAGCCAATACCTCAAGCTGAAGTTTTCTATATAGATGGGACTAAGAACGCTAAAGCCTCATTCTGGTCTCTCAAAGAATATAAAGTTTTTTACACTAAATTCCATTCTGCTCAGCAAAACAAATTATATGCTCTTATTCACATCACACACTAAAATTGCAAATAAAAAAATTTAAAAGGGGGAATACCCTGGAACATTGCTATCTTCCCTTTCTAAAGTAGACTCTCCTAGATGCCAACATAAGATATTCTCTAAACCTATAACTATTGTTAATATAGCTTTGTCTGTTTTAAATTTTTTAAACTTACCACAAGGAGATATCTTGACAAGAGCAGAAAACCATTTTGAGGAATTAAAAGTGCCTGGGTGGGCTACAGTCCATGGGCTCGCAAAGAGTTGGACACGACTGAGCAACTTCACCTCACTTCTCTTCCCCTGCGGCTGGGGTCCAGCCCCGCAGGATCCAGGGGAAGCCTCGGGATGAACGGCGTCAGCGAGATAAGACACAGTGGGACAGACCTCGGGGGCTGAGTCTGAAGTTTATTTTTGCACTCCCCCTTTATACCCTCTACAACATCTTTTAGGGGGAAGTGCATATCACTTACACAAGAGTCAGCTCAAAACATTACAGCAACTTGACCTTCAACAGAAACAGGATGTCATCCACATACTTCTCACTTACAAGAGTCTTTTTATCATTTGGCCTTCAGGCCTGTTAACATTTTATGGCTTGCACCTGGGGTGACTTAAGCAACTTCAGTAGCCGACCCTGTTTTTCTTGTGGTTAATCAATTTTCTTTTCGATAGGCATCATCTCTATAGGAACCAGATAGGATCACATTTTTACGGAACAGAAATGTGAAGGATTGCAAAAACAGCAGATATAGCACAAAACAGGCTCTTAGTCTAATAGGTAACTACCTGCAAGAAGTCACCAGCTAATCTCTGTCTAAAGTATTTTCTATTAGGCACATTTGTGGCTATTTTATTTGTGGAGCCTTTCTCACCCCGCGGAGGGACCTATGCTCAATAGTTTCTTTTGTTAGCGTACTGTGCTTAGGATGTTCAGAACAATCATGAGCATTTTTTGCAATGGGAGCACACATTTATCAAACAAGCCAGAATGCCAGCAAAAGGGTTTGAAGCATTTCTTTCATCCCTGGCCCCTTCAAGAGGGTACCAGTGTCCCGGAGATTTATTAGTTAGGGTTTTAAGTTGGTCCTCATTCAGTGAAAGAGGAGCGGGAGAGCTCTCGGCAGACAACACAAGAGTCTGCAGCAGGGCGAACAGAACAACAGCAGAAAAAGGGGGAGGATGCAGGGCGCAAGCTTCTGAGGTCTCTGCCGAAGAGCTCTGACGATACAAGGGAGGACGACAACAACATAAGAATCAGCGCTATTACAGCAACGTAACTGAAAATAGTGGACAAAATACTTTCGGTGGAGATAAAGTTGGAGGCTCCAGCGGCAGGAACGTGTAATCGTGAATGCTCCATTGTTCTAATCTGTCCATGCAGTCTGTCTAAATCTTAACTTATGCTAGAGCTATTCCATACCCCTGGAATATGATTTTTAATTTTTCCCAATTGTAATCAGTCTCATTAACCTTTAAGAGTGTTACACAAATCCACCAGTGTCTGCGTGGCAGGACAGTGCTAACTTTACTTTTAGGGCTTGCAGTTCTGTTCCAATATGCATCACCGCTTCCTCTAGAGCACCTACTTTCATTTCTAGTTTTCCGTCTATGACCTCTTGAGTAGCTAAAGCTAAGGAGACATTTTTTGACATAGTATTAACATACTGTGCAGTATGTACTTGCTGGGTTAATGCAATTGCCGCTACAGAGACAGAGGTAATGGCAGTAATTAATGCTGAAATTCCTAAAACAAGCAATCCTATAAATCACTTAGAGCGCATCAGATCTGGTAATTGTTGAAGCACAGCTAGACCATAATTATCATACCAATGAGTAGTTCTTGTAACCGGTACCACAAGATAAGGCGGACGCAGTAATACAAAGGAACACACATTGTATTGAGGATTTAAACAGGAGGATGGCATACACTGTTTACAGGAAACCTTGTTAGGTCTGCCCGTATAGTTCATGTGTATTTGAAGATTTTTTGAATTATTGGTAAAGAGAAAAACATAGGGTGAGGACAAACAGGCCAGGGCAGAATATATAGAGTCATTTTTGGGTCGAGACAATGTGATAGGAGAAGTGGCTGCAAGCGCCCTCCATATTTCAGGCTGCCAGAATATTTTATTTTTGATTGTGTAGGATAGCATGGAAGGGACAAATTGGTTATGATGCCATCTATTGGCTGCCAAGGGCCAGTGAATAAGCTGGTTATTCCAATTGTAAAACTTGGCAGTATAGCCATGGACTAACTTTGGCTTTTGTCTGGGATTTGGGTTGCTCCAGTCTTATACTGAGAAATTTTTTCCTCCTGGGATTATATAATCAATTTTGGAGTTATATGTACAGGATTTCCAGCTCGGATAACCCAAACGGTTATCTATAGTTTTCCATATCACATCTGAAAAGGCTATCTCATTGCAATTCAGATAACCAGGCAGAGCAAGCTGAAATTTTGACTCATAAGGATCAAGAACTGGCATACGAGCCAGCAGTTTCCAAACCAGCCGGCTTCTCTTTTTATCTTCAGGAGCCGTCAGAGGGGAATCTGTCAGCAAAAGTTTTTTAGAGGCCCCAACGCATCCTTCTTTAGAAGGGGTTATAAGGTCTCGGGAGCAACCGGTAGGGAAATTAAAACACACCGGGAGTCCATTGGTCAGTCCTTTAAAGGTGTGGTTGTAATTAATAGGATGATGATCATTAGTATAAGAAGTATAGGATCCCCCCAAAAGATGGGGTTGATCGGTATTAAGCCATATAGGACCGTTATTCCAAGTCACCACCTGAAAGGTGGGAGGATCTGGAAAATAAGCCCAATACGTTTCAGGGGAGGCAGCACTTATCTGACAAGAAAGGAAAGCAAGAATGGCAATAAGGACTTTCAGGGGAGGATGGAGACCCTGCGGGGACGCTATCTCCTGTGCTTGCTGACAGAGCGCCTTGATTTGCCCCAGGTAGGGAGAGAAGCTTGTCGTGTCGAATGTGCTGGTCATCTTGGTGGTCTCCTGCGGCGCGAAGAAGTGGGAGGGTCATGAGCAGTTAAACAAAGCCATGACATCTGCTTGGTGGGAGGGTCTTGCTGACCTTCTTCCACGATTTCCGACATCACCTGCAGCTGATTTATCTGCCTTCTCCCCTCAGGTGGGGGTGGAGGTAGAGGAGCTCCCTTCCTTTTCTGTGGTTGGGTCATCGGTGGGGGGGGGGTCAGATGCTTGAAGATCTGCGACATGCCGAATCACTCTGTCTGGGATCCAAATTGGTGATTCTGCATCCTGGGGAAATATACAAGCATATCCTCGACCACTGGTTAATAATGGGCCAGGCCTCCTCCACTGTCCCCATAGGAGGTCTTTTCATTTGACCAGAGACCTCGTGCCTGAATGCTCGGGACTTCAGTGCCATAACATTGCAGGCATGCCCGATGAATCAATGTTAAGGTTGTTTATTACAAACAGAGCATGGTGCAGGATCTGACGAGGGGAACTATACTTAAATTCACCCTCCTGTAATTTAAATATTTGGGATTTTAAGGTCTGGTGGGCTCTTTTTACTATAGCTTGGCCCTGTGGATTGTAAGATATTCCTGTGTTATGCTTTACATGAAATCTCATACAAAACTCTCGGAATGACTTGGATGTATAGGCAGGGCTGTTATCAGTTTTTAAAGCTTTTAGCAGCCCGAGATAGGAGAAGCTAACAAATAGGTGTTGAACCACATCTTTATATGCTTCTCCCATCCGGGTGGTGGCTATGATAACATGGGAAAAAGTATCAACAGTTACGTGAATGAAAGACAATTTTCCAAAGGAGGGGATATGCGTCACGTCCATTTGCCAGAGCATGTTGGGTCTATGGCCACGGGGATTTACTCCCATCAGTAAATTTGGGATCATAGTGGGGCAGCGAGGACAAGCACGGACTATTTCTCTCACAGATTCTCAAGGGATCTGAAACTGGTATCTTAAAGCTGTGGCATTTTGGTGATGCAATGAATGAGAGGCCCTCGCTTTTTCTGTAACTGAAGCCACAGTTATTCTAGTTAGTGAATCTGCCAAGTCATTTAAAGCATTTAACGGGCTCTGCAGACCAGAATGGGCTCTAATATGGCCAATATAAAAGGCTTGGTTTCTGTTCCAGATCTGTTGCTGTAGCTTGGTTAGCAAGTAAAAAACTCTAGTCTTAGTTTCAGGCAGAATCGCAGTTTCAATGTGTGGAAACAGCCTAACCATATACTGAGAATTGGAATAAGGGTTAAATTCCTTTTCTGCAAACATTATAAAAGCCTCTATGACCGCAGTGTGTTCCGCCCTTTGAGCAGAAGTTTCTTGGGTGTGTATTACTCAGTTTTGATCTTTTGTAACAATAGAAGCACGCCCACTAGCTGACCTATCTGTAAATATTACCTGAACATTGGGAATAGGGGACAGTTTGCATCTTACAGGGAATATCACGGGATGTCTAGAAAGGAAATTTAGTAGTGCGTGTGAAGGCAAATGATGTAATATCTGTCCTGTGAATCCTCCCATGGTGATTTGCCAACTCTCCTCAAACATCAACAAGGCATCTAGTTGATCTTTGTTGTAAGGAATCACATTTTTCGATGGTTCTTTGCCAAAGAGCTCTATACTGCACCTCCTTCCCTTTAATATTAAGGCAGCTACTAGACTTCGGTATGCTGCAACTACCTTTTCGGCTTGTGCAGGCAAGTGTACCCATTCTAGAGGTCCTTCCTGCCAGAGAGCCCCTGTAGGTGCAACCGCAGTGGCCAAAGAAACTGCCAAGTAGTTGACATATTAACTCTCTTTACATAACTATTAGATAAAACCTTTTCAACCTTTTTTAATGCCTCTTGAGCTTCAGTGGTTAACTCTCTTTTTGAAGTTGGGTCTCAGTTTCCTTGTAAAATATTAAACAGGGGTTTAAGTTCAGCTGTTGTTAATTTTAAGTAGGGTTGTATCCAATTAATATCTCCCAAGTGTTTTTGAAAATCATTTAATGTATGAAGATGATCTTTTCTTAGCTGGATAGGAGCATGAGTCACTGTGTCAGAATGAATGACGCTCCCTAAATAAGTTATAGGGGGATTAATTTGAATTTTTTCTGAAGCTATTCTTAGACCATGTGTAGATAAAGCCTGAGTCAATTCATGTAAAACAGTTTGTAAATGAGGTCTATCGGGATGAGCTATTAAAATGTCATCCATATAATGAATCATATACACTTGCTCATATTTAACTCTTACATCTTCTATGGCAGCATTTACAAATTTTTGACATAGTGTTGGACTATTTTCCATTCCTTGTGGTAGCACTTTCTGCCGGGAGCCATTATGGGAGAGCCCACCCGTGACGAGGTCAGGAGGAGAAGACCTGACACGCAAGGCCGCTCAGGACACAAGGGACCCTCCAGGTTGGCCCCGGCCTCTCCCCCGCCCTGCAGCCTCCCCCTTTCCTGCTGTTGTTCTGTTCGCCCTGCTGCAGACTCTGGTGTTGCCTCCTGAGAGCTCTCCTGCTCCTCTTTCACTGAATGAGGACCAACTTAAAACCCTAACTAATAAATCTCCTGGACACTGGTACCCTCTGAAGGGGCCAGGGATGAAAGAAATGCAATTCAAACCCTTTTGCTGGCATTCTGGCTTGTTTGATAAATGTGTGCTCCCATTGCAAAAAATGCTCATGATTGTTCTAAACATCCTAAGCACAGTACGCTAACAAGAGAAACATTAAGCATAGGTCCCTCCGCGGGGTGAGAAAGGCTCCACAAATAAAATAGCCACAAATGTGCCTAATAGAAAATACTTTAGATAGAGATTAGCTGGTGACTTCTTGCAGGTAGTTAACTTTTAGACTAAGAGCCTGTTTTGTGCTTTATCTGCTGTTTTTGCAATCCTTCACATTTCTGTTCCATAAAAATATGATCCTATCTGGTTCCCATAGAGATGACGCCTATCGAAAAGAAAATAGACTAACCACAAGAGAAACAGGGTCGGCTACTGAGGGTGCTTAAGTCACACCTGGAGCAAGCCATAAAATGTTAACAGGCCTGAAGGCCAAATGATAGAAAGACTCTTGTGTACGAGAAGTATGTGGATGACACCTTGTTTCTGTTGAAGATCAAATTGCTGTAATGTTTTGAGCTGATCCTTGTGTAAGTGATATGCACTTCCCCCTAAAAAGTGTTGTAGAGGGTATAAAGGGGGAGTGCAAAAATAAACTTCAGACTTAGCCCCGCGCTTTGTCCCACTGTGTCTTTTCTCGCCGACGCCGTTCATCCTAAGGCTTCCCCTGGATCCTGCGGGGGCTGGACCCCGGCAAGTGGCGCCTGAATAGGGACCCAAAGGTAAGTCTCTCATTGTCCAGTTTTCGGGATGGCTAGGACCCCACTAGGGCGCTGCAGGCCCCCCTGCATAAGAAAGGTAGGGTAAAAAAGGTGGGTAGGTTTCAGGTTCCTTCTTTTCTAAGATTAAGATCCTCTCCTTTTTCTTCTTCTAATTAGTAACAAAAATGGGTAACAGTGAGTCAAAAAAAGGCAGCTTTTTATTGGAGTCATAATGCAACTCCTTAACCACAGAGGAATTAAAGTTAAAAAGACCAGTGTTCAGTCCTTTTTTACGTTTGCCCAAGAGCACTGTCCTTGGTTTCCAGAAGAGAGCAGTTCTCCTGGGTTCCCTTACCCTCCTGCTCTCCACCTGGGTGCCCTTCCCAATAAAGTCTCTTGCTTTATCAGCACGTGTGTCTCCTCGGACAATTCATTTCCGAGTGTTAGACAAGAGCCTGGTTTCGGGCCCTGGAGGGGTCCCCTTTCCTGCAACTGGTGGGGACTCTTCTTCGCTGAGACCGACATCCTGACCACTCGGGGTACTCAGGGGCCAGCTTGCCTGCCAACAGGCCAGACCCAGCGGCCACAAGTGGGACCCTCTTGTCCCTGGTCTCCTCCTGACGCGAACAACTGGCCAGAGTGCCCGACCGGTGGGGAACAAGAGATTTTATTGAGCTCTTTCCCCTTCCCTCTCTCTTTCGTCTCCTTAGCCCTTCCTATCATTCTGTTTTTCTAGTCCCCTGGTCCTGGACACAAGAATCTGAAAAGCCTTTAAAAATTTTACTTATTTCAACTTTTTTTATAAACTAGTAAATTTTATATTGTAATATCTAATTCATGACCAAACTTAGAAAATGAAGCTAGATCTTGCACTGTGTCTGTCTAAATATGTCTTGGTATGTCTTTGTCTCTGGGGAATATTTTTTAGGTTAATTTGTAAATGAACTCTATTTAATTGGCTTAAAGAAAGGTAAGCGCTTACAAATCAAATAATTCTAAATTAAACAATAAATTCCAGGTTCAGGTGAACTGGGAAATATTCAGTATTAAATACCTGATATTAATGTTTGTTTGTTGACCTATCTAGTATAGACATGTCTTAGAGTAATTAACATCAAATAAAATATTTTCATTGTACCTAAGTTTAATATAAGTTAAATATTATATCTGTTATAAGTTTGTCAACAAGGAAATAACCTCGAGTGAAGAAACTTCTAAAAAATGTAAATGAGATATGAGTTTATATACAAATTCTATTAAAAATAATTATTCTTTAGGAATATCTGTCTACAATAGTCTCTCCAGATTGGCGTAACTTAAATTTCTAAGGGCTGTGCTAAACTAAGTATTGGAAGTCTATTAAATAATTAGGTCATTTCCAAATAAAACAAGATTTTGAAACATTTACTACTAAACACTGATTTCCTTTTACAGAAAAACTAAAGAGATTTGAGACTACAAATGAATAATATTTGATGCCATCCTGAGATGTTCGCTAAAATTTTTTTTTAGAAATTATCACTGGTATTTATGTTCACCAATCTATAGAATGCTAATATAAAAGTCAATTCTTGGTTGCTTAAGGAAAGTAAGATGTGTGTGTTCAGTAAAGAAGGTATGAAGAATGAAGATACATTTTATGAAGGAAAAAAGAAGTAATTCTGACTTACAGTTGGCTGTTCCAGGATGGGAGAACAAACGGGTACAAAAAGTGATAAAAAGGTTTTATAACAACTGGACCCCAAGGGAAGAGTTTTGTGTATAAATAAAAGTTTTCTTGAGATGTGGAACTGCCTTTGATAATTGATTTTAAGTTTCTTTACCTCTGAAGTGATCTGTTCTATGTTTACCTTTAAAATCTTCTTTTTTACTTTGGCTAAGTAAATATATTATTTCACAGTGATCTATATGATTCTACCTGACAGAGTACTATAAACCCTTTTGATATTTATTGACAAAACTGCCTAAATAGCTTGACTTCTAGCTGACTTTGGGATGCTTCAGAGGGCCCCTGAGACATCCCAAAGAGCTATTAAACTACCTGAGTTCATTTGACATGTTAAATTGCATGGGAAATATTGTTGGAAGAATGATAAATCTTCTCAGGTTATATTATATGGTTGATGTTACTTATATAGATATTCTAGAAATTGTATAAAATTCATAAAAATCTGATATGTCCTGGTAAAATGTTGTCAGTTATAATTTTAGTTATCATGTTAAAGTGTTACAAGTCACAGCAATGACCAGGTTACTTTGTTAATTACAATTTAATTAGATTTTAAACATGCCTTGTATGGTTTCACTTTCATGCCTTTAAAAAAAATACTGCTAGTTCTTCAAGATTTATAAAAAAGACTTTTCTAAGATTAACTGATAAATTTTGTTTGTTTGCTATCTGGTAAATTGGCAACAGACTGGAATTTAGTATACTCTCTATGTTAAGAAAACAAAGTTTTCTTAAAATAAATCTTTCAATAAGAGATTATAAATTTCTTTGCCTTTAAGTGATTTATATTTGTTTTTAAAATCTTTTGTTACTTTAGTAAAGTAAATAAGTGTTATTTAAGATTATGGTACATGTAGAGGCTAATTCTGCTTCTACTAAAAATAACCCCTTACTGTTAGACTTGTGCTATCCTAATGTCTTAAAACATGACAACAGTCTACTCCTAAATTGGGGAATTAAAAATGGGTAAACAATAGCTGAAAATCAAAGAGTCAGGGCTATGGGAAATCCAAGGTGGCCACTTGGCTTTTCCCAGCTCCCTGACAAACCTCATTTTTATTTGATGGGTTAAAGCCTTCCCTGGTTACGGGGTTAATGTATCCATAATAAAAAAAAAATCACTAAATATTAAGTTTTGTAAATTGTTAAACTAAGTTTCTAGTTTTGTTAATTAAGGTTTAGTGTTTACTTAAGACTCACTTCTGAGATAGTTCCTTGTTATGTTATATTGCTAACAGATTTAATTAAATTATTAAAAAAGACACCCTAAGTTTGTTTCTAAAGCTTATCTCAGTAATCTATCTTTGGATGAAGATCAGATGCCTCATGACTTGCAACCAAGACATCCTGCATGGGCAACTCAATAAGCCTCCATACCCACATAGGGGCAAATTAAGTCGCTTTGTCATCAAGCACAGGAAATAGCTTCTCTACAGGGATCTTCAGCCTCTCCTGAAAGGGTGTTTATTGCTATGCTTGCTTTACTTTCTTGCCAGATGCTGGCCCAGGTCACCGGGAAAGCATGACTGTGATGATGGAGCTGCACGAGGAGGTCCTCCAGGACATGGTCCCCCCTAAGAAGCACCTGCTGCGACACCAGCCCGCCAATGCCCAGATGGGCCTGATAAAAGAAAACATGTTCTGCACCACGCTGCAGCTCCGGCTTTTCACGATGGACCTCAACGTGGTGGAGCACAAGATCACAGCCTTAAGTGTGCTTGTGGCCTGCAATTATCTTCTTCAGTCCAGAAAAAAGATCATTGCTGTGCTCTTCAAAGCCCTAAATTCAACCAATAGTGAGCTCTAGGAGGCCGGAAAAGCCTGCATGAAAAAGTTTTTAAAAGGTGCTACCATAAAAGTAGACCAGATCCACACTCACATGCGCCCGCTGTTGATGATGCTGGGAGACTATTGGAGCCTGATGCTCAACATCGTCAATCGTCTGACCTCTCAATATAATATTTGTTCCTTTGTGGTGCTGCGACGCCCAGCTCACCTTATGGTGCCCATCTCAGTGAGTACCTATTGGTATGACATTTATGGTATAGCCGTTCTGCAACAACTGCAAGATTTAATGCGATCCCGACGGTTTTTAGGACTACTTATCTTAGGGATCTCAACTAATAACAGCAAATACCTCTGTCACTGTGGCAGCAATATCATTGACTCAATAGGTACATACTGCTCAATATGTCAATGATATGTCAAAAGACGTTTCTTTAGCTCTAGCTACGCAAGAGATTATAGATAAAAACTTAAAATTAAAAGTAGACACCCTAAAAAAAGCAGTCATGCATATTGGAACTAAATTACAGGCCTTAAAAGTAAAGTTAGCAATATACTGTCAGGCCGACTACCGGTGGATTTATGTAACACCCTTAAAGGTTAATGAGACTGATTAAAATTGGGAAAAAATTAAAAATCATATTTCAGGGGTATGGAATAGCTCTAGCATAAGTTTAGATTTAGACAGACTGCATGGACAGATTAGAACAATGGAGCATTCCCGATTACACGTTCCTGCCGCTGGAGCTGCCAGTGCCTTCTCCAGCTTTATCTCCGCCAAAAGTATTTTGTCCACTGTTCTCAGTTACATCGCTGTAATAGCGCTGATTCTTCTTATTATTGTCGTCCTCCCTTGTATCGTCAGAGCTCTTTGGCAGAGCACTCAGAAGCTTGCAACTGAAATTCATCTGGCTGTTTTAAAAAATAAAAACGGGGGAGATGCCGGGAGCCATTATGGGAGAGCCCACCCGTGACGAGGTCAGGAGGAGAAGACCTGACACGCAAGGCCGCTCAGGACACAAGGGACCCTCCGGGTTGGCCCCGGCCTCTCCCCCCGCCCTGCAGCCTCCCCCCTTTCCTGCTGTTGTTCTGTTCGCCCTGCTGCAGACTCTGGTGTTGCCTGCCGAGAGCTCTCCTGCTCCTCTTTCACTGAATGAGGACCAACTTAAAACCCTAACTAATAAATCTCCTGGACGCTGGTACCCTCTGAAGGGGCCAGGGATGAAAGAAATGCTTCAATTCAAACCCTTTTGCTGGCATTCTGGCTTGTTTGATAAATGTGTGCTCCCATTGCAAAAAATGCTCATGATTGTTCTAAACATCCTAAGCACAGTACGCTAACAAGAGAAACATTAAGCATAGGTCCCTCCGCGGGGTGAGAAAGGCTCCACAAATAAAATAGCCACAAATGTGCCTAATAGAAAATACTTTAGATAGAGATTAGCTGGTGACTTCTTGCAGGTAGTTACCTATTAGACTAAGAGCCTGTTTTGTGCTTTATCTGCTGTTTTTGCAATCCTTCACATTTCTGTTTCATAAAAATATGATCCTATCTGGTTCCCATAGAGATGACGCCTATCGAAAAGAAAATAGACTAACCACAAGAGAAACAGGGTCGGCTACTGAGGCTGTTTAAGTCACACCTGGAGCAAGCCATAAAATGTTAACAGGCCTGAAGGCCAAATGATAAAAAGACTCTTGTATACGAGAAGTATGTGGATGACACCTTGTTTCTGTTGAAGATCAAATTGCTGTAATGTTTTGAGCTGATCCTTGTGTAAGCGATATGCACTTCCCCCTAAAAAGTGTTGTAGAGGGTATAAAGGCGGAGTGCAAAAATAAACTTCAGACTTAGCCCCGCGCTTTGCCCCACTGTGTCTTTTCTCGCCGGCGCCGTTCATCCTGAGGCTTCCCCTGGATCCTGCGGGGCTGGACCCCGGCAACTTTCCACTGGTATCTTAAATAAGGCTGTTTAAAACTTTCTGAAGGGAGACTGAAGGCAAATCACCTTTTATCCATGGGACTTAGAGGAATAGTAAAAAAGCAGTCTTGTAAATCCATTACAATTATATTGTACCCCTCCGGGATAGCCGCTGGAGAAGGGAGCTTGGGTTGTAATGTCCCCATATCTTCCACGGTAGCATTAACGACCCTCAAATCTTGTAGTAGCCTCCACTTTCCCAATTTTTTCTTTATCACGAAAATGGGAGTGTTCCAAGGGCTTTTGGAGGGCTCTGTGTGTCCTAATTGCAACTGCTCAAAAACTAAAGTCCTAGCTGCCTTGAGTTTTTCAGTAGTAAGGGGCCATTGTTCTATCTACACTGGATGTTGGGACTTCCACGTGATAGGGTCGGCAGCATGAACAATGGCCCCCATTATAAATCTGGATACCTGAGGCCAAGACGTCGCTGCCGAGGCACAGGGTTAAGGAAGCATTCCCATCTGAGACAAAACATCTCTTCCCCATAGAGTAAGTGGAAGCAATGGGACCACATATGGCTGGAAATTTCCATGGGTGTTGTCCAACTGCCATTTTAGCGTTGTTGCACTCCCTACTATAGAGAGAGCTTTTCCCAAGCCTATTAAATCATTTTCAGTTGTATGTGTAGGCCATGAACTGGGCCAGTCTTTTCCAGCAATACAAGAAATGTCTGCCCCTGTATCTAATAACCCCAAGATGGGTTTGCCACTGACAAAAATATTTTCCATGGGTCTTTTTTGAGTAATTTCTGTCACCCAAAAGGCCACATCACTAGAGCAAAAACCCTTGACTTGTCTCTCACTCTGAGTAGTGACATTACCCACAGTGGTAGCGTATGGTAAAAGTAAAAGCTGAGCAATTCTCTGCCCCTGGTAGATCAGAGGTGTCTTACTTGGAGGAGAAATCATTATGTGAATTTCTCCAGTATAATCAGAATCTATGACCCCAGGGACAACGGTAGGGCCTTGCATTGCTATGGAACTTCTGCCAAGTATAATTCCCAGTAACCCTGCTGGCAACGGGCCTTTAATTCCAGTAGGAATCTTTACAGTGGGACTATCAGGAGTTAATATTGTTGAGGTGGTGGAACTGAGGTCCAATCCTGCACTTCCTGGGGATGCTCTGATGAGCTCTGTGATGGGACGAAGGGTATGAATGGGTTTCAGGTACTCACCCCAATCGTTGCTGGGGCCTGGGGCTGGCCCCTCAACACTTTTCCCGGCTGTTGACCGGAAATCAAAAGTGTCCCATTTTTGTGAAATTTAGACTTACATTCTTTAGCCCAATGAAGCCCCTTCTGACAACAAGGGCAAGGGGTTTTCGGAAAGTTAGAAGGGCCAGGAGGATTAGTATTTATAGGAGAGGATTGAGAGTTTGCGGAAGGGGGATTAACTGGTTTGTGGGGATAGCTCCGGCTAAAATGCCCACCTGTCCACATGAAAAGCATCCTCTGACTGCAGCACCATTTCGCCGTAAACCACTTGGGCCTCCTTTTTGAGGGGTATCTTCACTAGCGAAGAGGGGTTGTACTGCTTGTTGGAAAGAGTTACCCTTTTTTACTGCCGCTATAGCGACGCCCCGTATCACTGGCGGGCCAACATCTGCGCAGTGTTTGATATAGTCTCCTATGTTTCCGGGTTTTTTTATAGGACGAAGAACAGCTTGGCAGGTCAAGTTAGCATTTTCAAAAGCCAATTGTTTTGTTAATATTTCAGTGGCTTCTACACTAGGTATTACTCTATGGATCCCCTCAATTAGTCTGGAAACAAAGTCTTCGTAGGACTCCTCTGGTTTTTTTTTTAATATTGGACAGAGATGACATTGATTCCTTTCCCTGTGGGAGTGAGCGCGAGGCCCCAAGAGCACAAGCAGTTACCTGTTCCAGAGTCCTTTTATCTAAATTCATTTGGTCGCTAGCAGACTCATAATCATCAGTACCTGATAACATTTCCTGCATTATATGCTTAGGACCATGTCTGCGGTTAGCATTAGCCTGTTTCTTGGCCAAATCTTCATATTTCGTCCTCCATAACAGGTATTGACCTCCAGACAGACAGGCCTTAGCTACTGTCCTCCAGTCATAAGGAGTCATCCATTTGGCCACCAAAGCATCAAGTAGTGTAAAAGTATAGAGGGCAGTGGCTCCATATGTAGCACAGGCCTGTTTGAGTTCTTTCATTAACTTCATTGGGAGGGGCTCCCAGGATGAGTTGTCTTCCCCCCATTCATCAAATAATACAGGGAAGCAGGCTTCAAGGTGGGGGTCAAATCCGTCTTCAGGGCTGGATAGCACCCTTCTCCTTAAGGGGCCCATGGGGGGCCCCTTTCCCCCATAAGGGGGAGGAGGGAGAGGCAACTGGGAGCGCCTAAGCACCCTTTTATGTGACTCAGATTTATCTATCAAGGGTTTTGGATTGACACTTACAGAGGACTTAGCTGAAGGGGCTCTTTTAAGCCGTTTGCAGCATCTCTGGCTGAGAAGGACCGTTCGTCCTCAGAGTGGTATCGGGATGCTGCTGCTTCTAACGCATCCTCGTCCTGGGGAGACAATGAATTTTCCTGTTCATCTTCAGTTTCAGGCTTATCATCAGTACTCATTGTGGCTAACATGCCCCTCAACTGCCTATAACTCGGGTTAGTTTCTTCGTCTTCTTTAACTTCCTTGATTTTTTTAGACTCATGTGTGGGATCTAAAGCATCTCTAATCATATTCCACAATGAAAAGGTGTCAGTCCCCACTTTCTAAGGGCCATTCAGGGTATAATAAGCTTTTAGTTGTTTTCCTACCTTTTCCCATGTTTCTAAGGTTTACAGTGCCCTCTTCTGGGAACCATGGACAAACGTGAAAAAGGACTGAACACTGGTCTTTTAAATTTTAATTCCTCTGCGGTTAAGGAGTTGCATTATGACTCCAATAAAAAGCTGCCTTTCTTTTGACTCACTGTTACCCATTTTTGTTAGCAATTAGAAGAAGAAAAAGGAGAGGCTCTTAATCTTAGAAAAGAAGGAATCTGAAACCTACCCACCTCTTTACCCTACTTTTTTAGCAGGGGGGCCTGTAGCATCCTCGTGGGGTCCTACCTGAAACCTACCCACATTTTTTACCCTGCCTTTCTTATGCAGGGGGGCCTGTAGTGCCCTAGTGGGGTAACCTACCCACCCTCCTTACCCTACCTGTCTTATGCAGGGGGGCCTGCAGCGCCCTAGTGGGGTCCTAGCCATCCCGAAAACTGGACAATGAGAGACTTACCTTTGGGTCCCTGTTCAGGCGCCACTTGCCAGGGTCCAGCCCCCGCAGGATCCAGGGGAAGCCTCAGGATGAACGGCGCCGGCGAGAAAAGACACAGTGGGACAAAGCGCGGGGCTAAGTCTGAAGTTTATTTTTGCACTCCGCCTTTATACCCTCTACAACACTTTTTAGGGGGAAGTGCATATCGCTTACACAAGGATCAGCTCAAAACATTACAGCAATTTGATCTTCAACAGAAACAGGATGTCATCCACATACTTCTCACTGACAAGAGTCTTTTAATCATTTGGCCTTCAGGCCTGTTAACATTTTATGGCTTGCACCTGGGGTGACTTAAGCCACTTCAGTAGCTGACCCTGTATTTCTTGTGGTTAATCTATTTTCTTTTCGATAGGCATCATCTCTATGGGAACCAGATAGGATCACATTTTTACGGAACAGAAATGTGAAGGATTGCAAAAACAGCAGATATAGCACAAAACAGGCTCTTAGTCTAATAGGTAACTACCTGCAAGAAGTCACCAGCTAATCTCTGTCTAAAGTATTTTCTATTAGGCACATTTGTGGCTATTTTATTTGTGGAGCCTTTCTCACCCCGCGGAGGGACCTATGCTTAATAGTTTCTTTTGTTAGCGTACTGTGCTTAGGATGTTTAGAACAATCATGAGCATTTTTTGCAATGGGAGCACACATTTATCAAACAAGCCAGAATGCCAGCAAAAGGGTTTGAATTGCATTTCTTTCATCCCTGGCCCCTTCAGAGGGTACCAGCGTCCAGGAGATTTATTAGTTAGGGTTTTAAGTTGGTCCTCATTCAGTGAAAGGAGCAGGAGAGCTCTCGGCAGACAACACAAGAGTCTGCAGCAGGGCGAACAGAACAGCAGCAGGAAAAGGGGGAGGCTGCAGGGCGGGGGAGAGGCCGGGGCCAACCCGGAGGGTCCCTTGTGTCCTGAACGGCCTTGCGTGTCAGGTCTTCTCCTCCTGACCTCGTCACGGGTGGGCTCTCCCATAATGGCTCCCGGCACTCTGCCCATTTGGTATCAAAACGGGTTCAATAAACAATGGAAATCTGGGAAATTAATCTTAGAGGAAAAGGGATATGCTTGTATTTCCCCAGATGGATCCAACGAACTCACATGGCTTCCTCTTCGGAAGACTTGACCCAAAAGGGCCCACAGCATTCAAAAGGGAAACGAAACAAGAAAAACCCCAGGAGGAGGAAATTCCAATACGGGCCATGTTGGCTCTAAAGATCTCCAGGAAGCACCACCCTTGGTGACATCAACCTTGAGTCCTGAAAACCTTATCGCTCTGCTCACTCCGTTTGCCTGCGCTACCACCCTCCCCCCAACCCCACTCGAGCCAGATTAACTAATCAGACTTACTGGGTTTACTTACCCAACCTCCCTTTATTGCAGATCGTAGAATGGATGGAGAAAGGACCGATTGTATCAACCGGTGACTTCTCCCATATGCCCCTCCCTGGAATGTGAAGGAGCCCTAACACCCTGGGGAGGAGGGAAATCTAACTAGCATTTCTTTAGGCTGCGAAGTCCTTCCATTGTGCCTGGGCCCAGGGGAATTACGCATAAACATCAGCCGACAAACTTGGGCTTTCGTCCTGCCTCCCAAAGAAGACGTTTGGACACTGCTTGGGTTAATTACTGCCCTCTCTTTTCGAGGGCTTCCCTGGTGGCTCAGAGGTTAAGGAATCTGCCTGGAATGCAGGAGACCCTGGTTTGATCCCTGAGTTGGGAAGATCCCCTGGAAAAGGAAATGGCAACCCACTCCAGTACTTTCTCCTGGAGAATCCCATGGAGGGAGGAGCCTGGTAGGCTACAGTCCACGGGGGCGCAAAGAGTCAGACACGACTGAACGACTTCACTTTCACTTTCTTTGTGAACCACGTTTACACTACTGAAACTTTAGGGAAAGAGTTAGGGATAGAACAAAGAACAATATGTAAAGGTTTACTTATGAAAACTTTAAATATACTCCTGTTCGTTGGGACAAAGGTCAAGCCAAATCAGGGAAACTAATACTTGTGGCTAGCCACACCATTGTCGATTGGGGACCCCATGGTATGTGATTGTCTAACTGCTCGGATGGTATTAACAGCACTGTGCATGATTCTGCTACTCACGCGGCTTGGGAGGTCACTAACACTAGGATGGAACATTACCATGACAAAGGACTTCTTAGCTGGCTTGATGGTGGAATGGCATCCCCTTGTCCTCGGATCATCCTCCATAAACAAACTGGGCCTGAACAATGGGACATATGGAAACTTGCTGCGAGCAATGAAGAACTTGGAACTTGGACTGGACATTTCACAGGAACCAGTCATAGTAGTCATAGTAATTATTTCTTTCACTATATCAATCATATTTCATACAAGCTTGTATTCCCCTTCCTTTTGTTTTAGCTATAGGAAACTTACAATTCAATAAGATGTTCTGTAACTTGCATAAATTGCAAATTGTATACCTGTCTTAAGAAATGAATCCCTCAGACATTCCTCCAAGGAAGACATACAGATGGCAAAAAAAACACATGAAAAGATGCTCAACATCACTCATTATCAGAGAAATGCAAATCAAAACCACAATGAGGTACCATTACACGCCAGTCAGGATGGCTGCTATCCAAAAGTCTACAAGCAATAAATGCTGGAGAGGGTGTGGAGAAAAGGGAACCCTCTTACACTGTTGGTGGGAATGCAAATTAGTACAGCCACTATGGAAAACAGTGTGGAGATTTCTTAAAAAGCTGGAAATAGAACTGCCATATGACCCAGCAATTCCACTTCTGGGCATACACACCGAGGAAACCAGATCTGAAAGAGACACGTGCACCCCAATGTTCATCGCAGCACTGTTTATAATAGCCAGGACATGGAAGCAACCTAGATGCCCATCAGCAGACCAATGGATGAGGAAGCTGTGGTACATATACACCATGGAATATTACTCAGCCATTAAAAAGAATTCATTTGAATCAGTTCTAATGAGATGGATGAAACTGGAGCCCATTATACAGAGCGAAGTAAGCCAGAAAGATAAAGACCATTACAGTATACTAACACATATATATGGAATTTAGAAAGATGGTAACAATAACCCTATATGCAAAACAGAAAAAGAGACTCAGATGTATAGAACAGACTTGTGGACTCTGGGAGAAGGCGAGGGTGGGATGTTTCAAGAGAACAGCATCGAAACATGTATATTATCTAGGGTGAAACAGATCACCAGCCCAGGTTGGGTGCATGAGACAAGTGCTCGGGCCTGGTGCACTGGGAAGACCCAGAGGGATCGGGTGGAGAGGGAGGTGGGAGGGGGGACCAGGATGGGGAATACATGTAAATCCATGGCTAATTCATTTCAATGTATGACAAAAACCACTGCAATGATGTAAAGTAATTAGCCTCCAACTAATAAAAATAAATGGAAAAAAATAAATAAATAAAAATTAAAAAAAAAATAAAAAAAGAAATGAATCCCTTTTGATTATTTGATCTCAACATAATTTGTGGTTACCAGTAAATCTCCAACGGCCCTGGGAAGAAGGTCCCATGGCTGGGCTTGCTTCCCGGTTACTTACTAAATTACTCTGACGATCTAAATGATTCATTGGATGGCTGATTTTTGGCATTTTGGGATTAATAGCTATTTGCACCACTGCTGCCGCTGCTGGCGTTGCTTTACAAACCTCAATTCAAACACATGATTTTATCCAAAATTGGGCTAAAGATGCTCATACTATGTGGGCCACTCAGGCTCAGATAGATGAGGATATTCAAGATGAAATACAGGAACTAAAAACAGCCATCAAATGGGTAGGAGATCAATTAACAGATGTACAAAACCAAGTGATATTAAAAGGTGATTGGAATTCTACTCAATTCTGTGTTACTTCTGTTCAATCATAGTGCCTAAAGTTGGGAGCAAATCAAATTTCATTTACAAAATATTCATGATAATGCCTCTCTGAATGTACAATTATTGCAAAAAGAACTCTTTGAAACCTTCTATAAAAGTCTGCCCTCATCCACCAATCTGGAAATTTTAGCTGAACAACTAGCTGATGAATTATCTGGGCTAGACCCACGAGGATGGTTTCAAAGCATCACCCACAGCCTCGGGTCTGGAACTGTAACTCAGGCGATTGTCTTGGCAATTATATTTGTTGTTTACTTGTGCCTTTCTGCAAAAATTGTTAAAACTAAACAAACTCAAAAACTCAGGAACTTTTTTGCAAATATAATAAAATAGGGGAAATTGTCAGGGAATGTTTAACGGTAGGATTCCTGTGTGCTGTTTCCTATCTCTCTTGAGCCCTCTGTTCCTTATCAGTCCCTATCAGGGGCCAGAGGAGCTGGCAAGCTGCTCCCAGCACTGAGATCATCGAGATGGGATGCTTGCATAGGATTTCCTTCATTAGCTTTTCCA